TCGCCTCACCATCAGGAAGTACCTGGACGTGAAGTTCGAGTACCTGGTGAGTAGCCTGCAGGTGAGCCCCGCTGGAGGCCTGCCCTGCCTTGTGTCATCCAGCTACATACAGCCCCGTCACATCTGACTGGGACATGGAAATTCCAGACTCTCTGGAGATCCGGGAGCAGCTTAGGCCTGCTGGCCATGCAGAGGCACCTCGTTGGGCCTGGGGCTGGTACTGGAGCTCTGGTCGCGTCACTCTGACCCTGGGGGACTTTTTAATTTTTTTTAAATCACATTTTAACAGTGAGTGAGTGTTTCAGTCAGCTTTTTTGCCACTGCGACTAAAAGACCCAGCCAGAACAATTTTAGAGGAGGAAAGGTTTATTTTAGGGCTCACGGTTTCAGAGATCTTGGACCGTAGACAGCAGGCGCCATTCCTTGGGGCTTACTGTGAGGCAGGACCCTGGTGGAAGAGCTTGGTTGAGGGGGGTGATCAGGAAGCAGAGGGAGGCTCCACTAGCCAGATCCAAAGTGTCTGCCCCAAAGCCGCGCCCCCAGCGTCCCCTCCTCCAGCCACACCTACCTGCTCTCCTCCTCCTCTCAGTTAATCCCATCAGGGGACGAATTCACTGGGTTAAGGTCTCTCAACCCGGTGTCTTGCATTGTCTCACACATGAGCTTTTAGGGGGCTTTTCACATCCAAACCATAATGTCTAGGTCTAGGTAGTTTCAATTGGTGCCAGGGAATGTTGGTTTTAGGTAATAATTCTGTGGTCAAGAGTTGGGAAGCCAAGCTCCGTTGTGGGACTTCCCAGAGCCAGGCTGGGCCTGTGTGCCATCTCTGGAGGGAACCATTTTTCCCAGGGTATTTTTTCCCCTTCATTCCTGGGGCTGTTACCTAGGGCCTTGCAGGTGCCCAGCAGGTGCTATACCACTGAACCATGCTTCCAGCCCCCAGCGCATCCCTTGGGACCTGAATTGGGTCAACTCTGAGCCACCCAAGCCCTCAGGCCTGCCCTCCCTTCCAAAGAGAGCCCTTGCCCAGCCGCTCTTAGCCTCCCCAGGCCTCCTACACACCTGCCACCAGCCTCTCCCATATGGGTCGCAGCTGATCCCAGCGGGGGTCTGCAGGAGCCAGGAGGCCTGGCATACTGCAGTTCTTTGGCTGGGACAGCCTCCTGGGTCACCTGGGGGCATGGTGTGACATGGGCGGAGCTGGGAATGTTGGGGTGGATGTCCAGGAGGCTGCAGCCTCTTGACTGCTTGGCCTCACCTGTCCCACACAGTCGTACTGCCTGAAGGTGAAGGAGATGGACGACGAGGAATACAGCTGCATCGTGAGTATCGAGGGGTGAGGGGGCCCAGCCCTTGTATTGGAAAGGCTTGGGGCGCACGTACCTTCTCCTACCTGCCTCAGAGTCCCCAGAATGTCCTGGATCTGCCAGGGGCATCAGGTGGGTCAGGCCATCCCAGGAAAGTCCTGGGGGCCTGGTCGGACTCTTGTTCCTGGAGCATGGGGCCATCCACGCCCAGTCCCTCTGGGCCTTGGAGTGCCGGCCAGCTTGCCATGGGGCCACTCCTCAGTCCTGCTCCTCGCCCACAACCTCCAAGCTGGTGAGGCCCCTGCAGGGAGGCTGTCCAGCCTCACTCCTGAGTGGCACTTTAATTTACTCAATTCAATATCTTTGCTGTTGGGGTCAATCTTAGGACCCGTCTTCATTCGTTTAATGTGACGGGTTTGGGTCTTTTCTGGATTTTTCTCCCTCCAAAGCTATTGCCATGGGCTCCTAATGAGTGCTGGCATCTCAAACAAGGGACTGTGGTGGCTCTGAAAAATGCCTTGTGTTGTGGGGCTGAGCTGGGGGGTCAGCCCTGCAGCCCTCCCGCCCCGCCCCACCCCCGACCCAGCAGGCCCCACTGCACCCAGGATCCCTAACGTGCTCCCCGCCCCAGGCCCTAGGGGAGCCCCTGTACCGAGTGAGCACAGGCAACTACGAGTATCGCCTGATCCTGCGCTGCCGCCAGGAGGCCCGCGCCCGCTTCTCCCAGATGCGCAAGGACGTGCTGGAGAAGATGGAGCTGCTGGATCAGAAGCACGGTGAGGGCACAGGCGCACAGAGGCGCGCGGCCGTGGTGGGCTGTTCTCTGACAGCCTTGGTACAGGGTGGCGGCCTGCTTCTCCCCATTGTAGAGATGGGAAATCCGAGGCCCAGAGAAGTCAAGTGCCTAAGTGAGTCCCAGGGCCAGGCCCTGGCAGCTGCCCGTCCACCTTCCCGGAGCCTGGTCTGGGTGGGCCCCTGGAGGGGGCCCCATGCCCTGCAGCCTCTGCTCTCTCAACTGGGGGCCAAGACACCGGGTCCTCTGGGAGGCCGCCACACGGGCTGCCCGGTGCTCACCTCTGCCCCTTCCCAGGGCCTGAGGGGCCAGCTGAGTGCCCAGGGGAAGGAGGTGGCGGGGCAGGCTCACGGGTCTCCACGAGGCACACAGCCACCGGGCCTGTCCCCTGCCCTCCTGCCCCAGTCCAGGACATCGTGTTCCAGCTGCAGCGCTTCGTGTCCACCATGTCCAAGTACTACAACGACTGCTACTCCGTGCTGCGGGACGCAGACGTCTTCCCCATCGAGGTGGACCTGGCACACACCACACTGGCCTATGGCCTCAGCCAGGGCGAGTTCACTGACGGGGAGGAGGAGGAGGAGGAGGAAGAGGACACTGCAGCCCGGGAGCCGTCCAGGGATCTCCGCGGGGCTGCTGGACCCCTGGACAAGGGCGGAAGCTGGTGTGACTCCTGAGCACCCAGGGTGCAGATCAGGGGGGAAGGGCAGTGGGCAGACGGCAGCAGGAGCGGGGCTGGGCAGTGGTGCACGTGGTGGCGCATAAAGCCTGCTGGCTCGGGCGCCTGCCTCCCTGCTCCTCTGTCCTCGCACAGCAAACCCGGCTCCTGCCCAGGAAAGCTGCCAGGCTGAGGCCCAGCCCTGGACACCGGCCCACCCTCCCTCACCTCCCCAGCCAGGGAGAGCGAGGCCTCTGGACCTTACTTAGGAAGGAGAGGGCAGAAGGACGAGGGGCTGCAGGTGGCATCCAACCCAGGACCTGCTGCGCCTGCTGGGAATAGGCGAGTCCTGCACACCCTCCGCTGGTCCCACCAACCCCACCCCTTCCGCTGGCCCCTCCACCCCCCACACCTCGGCGGCCTTTATTTATTTGTCCTCAGCTCAGCCATTTCTGGAGCAGGGCTGGGCCTGGGCCTGTATCAATAAACAAACCAGATGGAGCCGGCTCTTTGCATGGCCACAGGCCCTCCTCGCGCCTCGCTGCCTCCTGCCTGCCTCCTGCCTGCCTCCCGGTCACAGGGTCACTGCTGATCCCATATTCCTTGCAGCACCCTGCAGGAGGGGTCACACTGTTGTCCCCACTGCTGTCCAGGGGACAGAGTGGCACCTGAGCACCATATGGCAGGTCCCAGGCTGTCACCTTTTCCCTTCCTCCGGAGTCCTTTACATCCTCCCTCGTCTTCGACCCCCGGGTGCTTCTGGACATGAAGTAAACCCCTATTTGGGGGAGGGGAGGGCAGGACAGATGTTGGTCAGGCCCGAGGCCCCCCGTGGTGGAGATGGGGTTAGCATCAGGTGCACCTGTTCCCTGTAGCCATGGGGGTGTTGGGAAAATGTCACCCTCTGCTCTGGGTCTCCATAAAGTGACAGGACAGGTGGCCCACAAGTCCTGCTTTGCCTGGCCAGGTCCAACCCACGTTGTGGCCCTTTCACACTGAAGTGCCCCATTAGGGCAGTGAGTATGGTCATTCCGAGGACAGGAGGGAGGGCGAGAGGCAGCAGGGCAAGTTCATGATGGGGAGGACGAGGAGGAGGAAGACACTGCAGCCTGGGGGCCGCCCAGGAATATCCGCGGGGCTGCTGGACCCCTGGACGAGGGCGGAAGCTGGTGTGACTCCTGAGCACCTGAGCTCGGTCCTGGCACAAACCCAGTGGCATTCTCGGCAGGTGTAGGGCACAGAGCGAGAGGGGCTGGCACCAGGAATCCCTGGGGTCCCTGCCGAGCTGACAGGCCACTCCACCTCTGAAGAGGCAGCCAAGGGCACTGACCCTGCCCCACAGACTTGGCTTCTGCCACCCTGGGCCTCAGTTCCCCAGACTGCAAAGTGTGGGCCGCAGTGGTGGACACTGATGGCCCCGGCCTCAGCGGGTGGCTGGGGATCACAGGAGTTGACATTTGGAAAGGTGCTTGACCCCAGGTCAGCCCTCGGGGGCATTAAGTGCAGTGTTGCTCTGGTGGCCTGGGGAGACGACTGGTATAAAGGATGGGTCAGCCAGGCACCTGTAGGAAGGTCCACCCAGACAGTGGGAAAGGGCCACCATGGCTGGGCTGTGCTGGCAGGACAAGGTCCCTGCACATGGGACAAATGCAGGAGGGAAGACGCACTGAGACTCCTGAGGAAGCAGATAGATGCCAAGGACAGTGATGACCAGGTTGTCCACAGGCCACAGGTGTCCTCAGGAGCACCGTCCAGCGCAATAGCCCCAGGGACAGGCGAGTTCTCAAGAGGAAGGGTGCCTTCAGGACAGGGAGGGGACGTGCACCCCTTGGAGAGGACAGTAGGGCCCCATGCTCTCCTGTTTGTCCTCAGCTCTGTGAGGAGGTGGCCCAGGCCGCAGCACAGCTTCCAGTGCCCACGCCGACCCTGGGACCTTCTTTCTCTCAGGCTACTCTGACCCCCATCTGTGAGCAACACCCACCCTCAAGCCTAAGGTGCTACCAACACCCGGCCACCTGGACGGGGAGAGGCAGGTAGACGGCAGCCCACGGGCTTCAGTGCACAGCTCGGCCACAGCCCGGGTCTCAGCCTGGGACGTCTCCCTGGCCCTCCATCTGTCTTTGGCACTGCCCAACTCCAGCAGCCAGGGGCCCTGGGGAGACCCCTCAGCACCCCCACCCTTCCCCCAACTTGGTGGTGACCAGACCCCGGATGGAGGTGCAGGCACAGAACTCGTGCTTCAGCTGAGCTTTATCAATTTGAGTTCCTGTCAGTCCACACAGCTTCACTGGCGAGGGGACAGAGGCCGGCAGCGGGAAGGACATTCCTGGGATACCCAAGGGATCAACTGCAGCCCAAACTTGCCCCCTGGAGGGACCACCCTGACCAGGCCCTCTGAGAGGGCAAGCCTGGGGTCGCGCCCAGTGCTACACAGACTCCCGGCTCCGCCCTGGGTCTGCCTCCCGCTCCTGTCCCACAGACCCAGCCCGGGGGCTGGGCACCTCCAGGCTCTCGAGGCTGCGGGGCTCCTGGGTGCCGGGAGGCAGGGGCTCAGGTTCCCCCTCCGCCTCAGCGTCCTCAGTGTCACTGGCCCCAGTGGTGGGGCCAGGTGGGGTGTCCCGAGAGCGGCGCAGGCAGCAGTAGGTGGCGACAGCCATGAAGACCCCCGCGAGGGCCACCTCTGAGCCAGCCAGGTAGAAGATGATCTCGTAGTTCTTGAGTGCGTCCACCAGGCGGCCTGGGGGTGGGGACAGGAGGTCAGGGCCTGGGCGGGTCGCCCTCAGTGAAAGGCAGCGCTGCTGATGTGGTAGGGCTCATTGGTGACTGTCACATGCCCCTGTCTTTATCCTATTCTACAGACACCAAGCCCCACACAGGTTCTGCCCCTTGAGACTTTAGAAATGTCACTCCCTCTCCCTGGGCCTCTTAAGCACTGTGGGACTCGGGGTGAGGCAGCTCTTTATAGAGTACAGAAGGTACTGCATGTGTCCAGGTATAAGTGTCCTGTGACTTGCCCAGGTGGCAGTGGGGAGGGGCCCTGGTTCAACCCTTTCTCCTGGGACTCCAGCTCTTGCTCTCTCTGCATACGGCCCTGGTCTTCAGGGACATGGTTCATCCTCCTCCAGCCTCCTGCCCTCCCTGGGCCTCGAGCACCCGACTGAGCAGGCTTCAGCCTCTGCCCTGGTGCGTGTGTGTGCGTGTGCTTGCGCGCATGCTCATGTGTGCATGTGTGCACACTGGGGATTGAATCAGGCAGGACCTCACAGATGCTGGCACCTGAAAATTTTTCTGACTGCAAGTATTTATCCCCTAAATTGTGGTTCCTCTGGGGGCCCCACCCTCTCTCTGGAGCATTCTTGTAGCTGACCAATCAAGTCTGTGACCTTCAGGAAGTTCCCTGGTATCCCCCAGGCCAGCTTCCCCACCTATATTCCTCTGAGCAGTCTTCCTCCAAACATCCTGGTCCCTGCCCAGCCAGCCAGTCCACCCCTCCCAAACTCAGCCCTGTAGAGATGCATTCTCTGGTCATTAGAACCACTCCAGGGACAAGAAACGGCAGGTGGGCTCCTACGCCTCTGGGGGCTGGATTTAGGATGCCCATGAGTGACACTGGGTCCGGCAGGTTAATAAAGCTTGATGAGGGCAATGCTAGTCCCATCCTGGAGGGAAGATGGCAGCTCCCCCCAACTCAGCTGCAGCCGGGGCCCCAGCACAAGTGGCCTCCTCCATCCCTGTCACTACCCCATCCTGCTGTTCTGGCAACCCAGGAAGACACGTGACCCCGACTCCCGTCTCTCCAGTCTTAGTCCTGCCTCACTCCTAAGGTTCAAGGCAAACCCTGCACCTGTTCATGCTGTGCCCACCCCAGGGAGCTCTACAGGACACCACCCCTGGCCATCATCATGGTGACTGCCCAAGGCAGGTGATACGGAGAGCGCCCTGCAAGCAGCCTGCACAGTGAAAGGCGCAGGTGCCTCTCCTCCTGCCGGCTGCCCTCTAAGAACCCTCACACTGTCCCTGAGACTGGTTCCCAAAGACATCATAGCTGTCCCCCTTACAGGCCCAGGAACTAAGCCATCCAGACACTGTTTTCAAGGGGTGGACAGTGAGCATGGGCAGGTTATGGCTCTAACTCTGGGACTGCAACTTGTCCTGGCCCGCAGTGCCTCAGTGCCTCAGTTTTCCCATCTGCAAAATGAGAATAAGCACCCACGCTTCCCGGGCCTTTGCACCCCTGCTTGCCGTGGCTGGGGGCCTTATCAGGTTGGCTTCTTCCTGGCTCCTCCCTGGCTTTTCCTTCTCCACTCACAGCTGGTTCCTGCTTGGGGGAGGGGTTGGCCACAAGGGGAGTCCACCCACCAGCTGCCTCTGTCATTGGTCCCTTCCCCTCATCCCCAAAGTTCCATTTGGGACAGGGAGAGAGCTTCCCAGGGACTAAGTGGCACTAAGCCTTGCCATCCATCCCCTCCTCCTGCGGGGGGCACCTGCAGAAGGCGGTCCGATGAGCACAGCCACGGCCTCCACGAGCAGCACCAGGCCCAGCGCGCTGGGGAAGCGGGGCGCACCCACAGCTGCCATAAGCACCTCGAACTGCAGCGCACCCACCATGCCATAGGAGAGGCCGAAGGCAATGCAGAAGGCGACAAGGGTGCCATAGGAGCGCGCGCGCGCACTGCTCAGATCGGTAATCCCGTTGGCCAGTAGAGCCAGGCTGAAGAGGTAGGGGACGTGTGGTCTCAGGCGCGCCAGACCCGCGAGGGCTCCGCACGCTGGCCGCGCCACGATGTCCACAAAGCCCACAATGGACAGCAGGAAGGCGGCCTCGGTGTCAGGCACACCCGCGTCCTTAGCGTAGTTCACCAGCAGAATGGCAGGCACGAAGAGCCCGAGCGCCATCAGGAACTTGGTGACCACGTACACGATGAAGGCACGATCGGTGCAGACGGCCACGTCCAGCAGGCGCCGGCGGGCCCGGCCGCTAGGGGGCGCCTCGCGCAACCGCAGCCTCGTGCCCTCGGCATCCGCCTCCGCCTCTCCGGGGGCGTCCCCCGCGCAGTCCTCCTCGCGGTCTGCACGTGGCCGGGGCCCGGGCCCGGGCGGGGGCCGCATGACAGCTCCGCAGGCGCAGCAGTGCAGCAGGAGGCCGCCGAACAGCAGGAAGCCGCCGCGCCAGCCGAAGAGCTCGAGCAGCAGCTGGCCGAGCGGCGACAACGCAGACAGGAACACGGGGCTGCCCGCCGCCGCCAGCCCGTTGGCCAGAGGCCGCCGCCGCTCAAAGTACAGCCCCAGCATGATGAGCGACGGCTGGAAGTTGAGGGCCAGGCCCAGGCCTGCGGGCGAGGCGGCGCTGGGCGCGGCTCCCCAGGGCACCCCGCCCGGCCCGGCCGGAGCGAGAGGTCGGGCCGACGGGAAGGGCAAACCCCTGGGGAACTGAGCCAGGGCACTTTGTGGGGAAATTAAGGAAGGACAGGAGGGACTGTCTGACAGGAAGGACTCCCGACCCGCACCCCCACCGGGCGGGGGAGAAAGAAGAGCAGTGCCCCTCACCTGTGAGCACCCCGGCCGTCAGGTACAGCTCCAGCAGGCGCGTGGCGAAGGAAGCCAAGATCATGCCCGCTGAGGCCAGAAGCCCACCCGCCAGCATCACCGGGCGACAGCCAAAGCGAGTCACAAGAATGCTGGACACGGGGCCTGTGGGCAGGGCAGGTTCACCAGCGAGGCCAGGTGGCCCATCCCCCCGCCCCAGGGGACATCAGCCAGGCTGGAAGGGATAAAGTCGCACACGTCCAGAGACTCAGAGAGGGCGGTGTCTGGCCAGGTCACACAGGCTGGCGAGGACAGACGGAGGGGGCGGTGGGGAAAGGCTCTGTCCTGAACCAGAGCTCCCATCCCTCATGGCTCTTGAGAACCCAGAACCCAAGGCAGAAAAGGAGGCTTCTCTGGCTTTTCGTCTTCACAACTCCAGGTCCCCAGGGACAGCCTGGAATCCCACCGGCTGCCTTCCTCCCCAGTCGCCCCCTCATCCCCTCCCCCATACACAGGTGGTTGGGGCAACAGGGACAGGATGCTTCCTGCCACCTCAGTTTCCATAGTAAAACCGGTGGGTGGGCTGGGGCGGCATAGAGGGCTCGCCTAGCCGGGGAGGAACAGTGGGTGCATGTCGGTTGGCAGGAATGGAGCCCCTGTTCCACCCTGCAGCTGACCGAGCTGGCCAGGTCAGCCAGGCCTGCTGTCCCTTTCCTGTCCCCTTCCCTCCCTCTGGTGCAGGGTTTCCGCAGGAAGGAGGGGGTTAGGGATGTTTCAGGGGTCTGGTGTCTGCTGGTTCCCGACTCAACCCTCCAGTCCTGGGCCCCTGGGGAGTGGAGGCCCTGGGAGGGGCGCTGACCGGTTCCGTAGAGCATGGCCAGCATGATGGAGGACACCCAGGCCGTGTCGCTGTAGCCAGCGCCAAAGTCGCGCATGAGCGCGCGGAAGAAGACGCTCACGGCCTTGGGAAAGCCATAGGCAAAGCCCGTGACCACGAAGCAGGCGACCAGCACCACCCAGCCCCAGCCGCCGTCTGGGGGGCCCACACCTGGCCTGGGTCCGCCAGCGCCCATCACCACCGCTGCTGCTGGGAAAAGACAGAGCAAGTGAGGCTGTAGCGCACAGCAGGGGGATGGAGGGCTCAAAGAGGAGACCGATGCGGAGGGGACCCCGGAGAGCCCCGCAGCAGGAGGGACGGGGTGGGGGGAAGCGCCCTGCCCCTCCTGCAAGGGGAGCGAGGTTACTGGTTACCTGAGGCTTGGCTTCAGGAAGGCTCCCGGGAGAGCACCTCTCCCCTCAGGACCTGGTGACGCAGGAGAAGGAGGTGAGAGGCTGGCAGCCAGCAGGTGCCCAGGGGGTGCTTGGGACTGCCAGTGTCCCCAGTGAGTACATGTGGCAGTCTCTGGACACAAGGAGCACTCAGTGGGACGGGTGTCAGCGGTAGAGAGGGCCTGAGCGGGTCGACCTTTCTCTGTGGCTTATGGGATGTTAATTTGTCTCCATGATCAGGAATGACTGTTGTCACCAGAACATTACAGGGAAACGTGTGACCACAGACCTCAGCCTTGTCTCAGAAGCGGGTGCTGAGGTCCAGCCCAGGCCCTGTTTGTTCTGTGACCTGGGCAGGTCCCTTGTCCTCACTGGGTCTGTTTTCCCACCTGTATGATGGCTGATGACCACTCCTGGGCCAGCTGGAAACCTCGGGGTCAGGGAAGGGGCTCTGGATCCCACTGGACAGTGAGATTTTATTTATTTATTTATTTATTTGTACCAATCCCTGAACCTTTACAAAAGGCTCTGGTTGGTTAAGTGCCAACCCAGGGGCACGGCACTTACTCACATCCCCAGCCCTTTCAGAGACAGGGTCTTGCTAAGTTGCTTTGATCTTTCCATCCTCCTGCCTCAGCTTCCCGAGCCGCTGGGATTACAGGCATGTGTCACCGTGCCTGGCCCAGTGGGGACCTTTGAGAGGCACTGCTCCAGTAGACCTGCCTCCAACCCTGGCAGCCCACCCTCCCCACCCACCCTCCATCCATGGATGACGGCTCCAGAGCTCAGAGACCCTGGAGCTCCAGCTGGGGGTCTCTTCACAGCCCTGTGGGCCCTGTGACCGAGGAGGAAGGTGGACCAGCCCAGAGGGCAGCAGGAGCCCAGGGCTCCCGGCACAGCCTCCTTCCCTCCTGCGGCTCTGGGTGTCTGTGCCCTCCCTCCTGGCATTGGCAAGACAGGCCCCCTCCCCAGGGGGGTCTGTGACTCTGCCCTCCACCAGCCCCAGGACTTGGCTTTACCTGTCCCCTTTCACCATAGCTGCGAGGACAGGGACCAAGGAGTCCTGGCAGGCCTCACCCACACTCACCAAGCCCGAGTTCGGGTGCCCGCCTCACATCTCCCGAGGCCTGCAGGGAAGCTTCTGGATGGGTCTTGCAGACCCCCTCTGCCGGGCGCTCCTGGTGCAGTGGCCAGAGCTCTCCTGCGGACTCCCTCCCCGGCCCGGGGCTTAGAGCGTCCCCCACCCCTGCCCCCGCCCAGCCTTGCGCTAAGAGGCTTTTGCCCAGGATGGGGGACAGAGCAGAGAGGGACCATGAACACTGGGCCAGGTGGGCCTCCACGGTGGGGTGACCTGTCCCAGCCCAAAGACGGACAAGGACACCCCTTCTACCTTTGGGGCATCAGGTGGAAGTCACACAGAGCCTGCCCAGGGGACCTGGTTCTGGGGGCACAGCCTGTCCTGGGCTGTCACCTCAGCCCCTTGGCTGCCCCACAGTCCCGGGCCACATTCCAGGAGGGCTCCGGCTCCCCCTGGATAAGGCTAATCCGGCCTGGGAACGTGGGGGTGGGGGGCTGGGACAAAGGCCGCTGTGTCCAGGCCGCCAGGGAGGCGGTGGTCCCCGACTTGGGCCATGCCACCTCCCCCACTCCTTCCTGGGTTTCTGGAGTGGACACGGGGACTGGATCTGAGGGCGAGGGCAGCCCGAGAGCGATGCTCAAGTGAGGGGAAGGAGAGCCGGGAGTGAGGGCCTCCCAGGAACCGCCATGGACTCCGTCCTCCCTCCCCAGCTCCCGGCCTGTCCCCGAGTCAGACACACCACACCTGGGCCACGCCCACTGCCTTTATTTTCATCCTTTACAAAAGTGAAAGGGGACACGTGGGGGGCAGGGGTCTCCTCCCCACGGGGAGAGTGGGGGCAGGGCTGGGGTCAGGAGGCTGCCCTGGGAGAGTTCTCGGCCCCTGAGGGAAGAGGCTGCTCTGTCCCTCAGTCCCCTGCTGCGCTGTGACGACCCAGACCACAGGCCGCTGTCCTGAGCCCTCGGGCTGAGGGGCGGGTGGGGAAGGCCCCGCGGGGTCAGGGCTCCAGCATCTGGGATCCGCGGGGGCTGCTGCTGCCATCACCGCCACCACACCAGCTCCACGCAGGTGCACAGGCCACCTCGGGCCCCCCAGGGGCGCCCCTCAGCGGATGATGGGTGCCGAGCGGTCATTGGTGACAGTGGGACGCAGCTTCACGGTGGCAAAGGGGTTCGTGCCCCTGTGTGGAGGGAGAGGCTACCATGAGGGTCCAGGCTCCTGGCTACCCGGGGCCAGGGAGGGTGCCCAGCTCCACCTCCGGGCCATCCTGGTCACCCCATCACCCCTCACCCCAACTTGCCCTCTGGCCCCGATGGCGGGACTCACCGGGGGAAGAGCTCTGGAGGGTGCTGCTCCCAGGACATCAGTTTCTGTGGGGGAGGGAGGAGGTGGGTCAGGCCAGCCCTGGGCACCCCAGCAGGCCAAGGCCTGGACGCAGAGACCAGACTTGGGGAGAGGAGACTGGCATTAAGAGAGCCCTGGGCACGCAGGCACCATCTCCTGGGACAGGCTGTCCCTCCCCTGGAAGGTCCCCTCCCTCCTCACCTGCCTGTGGTGGCCCCAGGACTCCGGCACTTTGTCAGTGGCCCCCACCCCGGGACACCAGGCTGCATCCCTGAGACACTTGTCCCCTCCCTCCCCGAGGCTCAGGACCCTGTCCCTCCCTCCCAGCACTGAGGGGCAGCCTGGGGACAGATGGGGGCCCTGCCAGGCAGCACAGGAAGGCTTCCCTGTCCCGCCTCCTTGCCCAGGGCCGAGGATGGCTGGGGACTTACCTTGACATCATTGACACCCCCCATGCTGCTTCGGCGGCTGCCAGGCAAGGGTGCAGGCGCAGGGCTAGGGACGCGGCTTGGGGCCCCGCTTGGGGTGCGGGGTCGAGACTGGCCATCCCAGTACTCGGAGGACACTGCGGGGTTGCCTGGCCGGTCCAGGAGGTCATCAAGGCTGTGGGTGCCCCGGAGCGGGTAGGACCTGAGTCCAGAGAAAGGAGGGAGAGACGGGGTTCAGGGGTCGTCCCTGGTGTCCCCACCCCATCTGCTGGTCCCCTGAGCATCCTCCAGCTTCTTTCTCTGGACCTGGGTGAGAGGGAGTCAGCGCAAGGGAGCGCCTGCAGGGAGGCAGGGGGATGGACACAATGACCTTCCATGCGCCCAGGGTGTGGCACTCTGCCTCCCCTTGCCGCGGCCACCGGCCCACCCTGGGAAGGCACCTGGAAGGTAGGCCCACCCCGGGAAGGTACCTGGAAGGTAGCTCGTTCGCGGGGTTCAGGGAGGTCACGGGGCTCGCGGGGCTCAGGGGGCTCCCGGGCACCTGCTCCAAAGGCTTCACGTAGGCCTCGGGGAACCAGCCGCTCCTGCGGGGCAGAGGCCAGGGGCCTTGAGCAGGCCCAGAGGACCCCGGGACAGCTGCCCCCCAGCGCCGACCGCCCCCACCTGGGCGCCCCTCTAGAGCAGCTGGGCCGGCTGGCCGGAGGGACACGGTGGCAGTTCTCGGCCTGATCACTCTTCAGAACACCCGGGAAATGTCCCCAGGAGCCAATCACAGCGTCCCGGCCGGCCCCGCGAGGCCTCCAGGCACAGACACAGCCATTGGCTAGCCTCCGCCTGTTTTCAGGGATGTGCCTAAGATGACACCTCCTGTCACCTTCCCACAGAGGAAGCAGCCCTGAGCCAGCAGGGGAGTGTCAGGCCGGGGCAGGCCGCTCCCACAGGGCGGCTGTGGGCACTGGAGGGCGGCCTCCACCCACACTCTCAGGCGTCTGACCCCTTCTGCTCTGGGTCCGGGTCACCTGCCCAGCCCCGACCTTGCACTTCACTCACATCTTGGGCCAAAGACCCACAATCCACCTGGGCGGCCTCCCACTAGACGCCTACTGCGCATCCACCAGAGCACCCACTGGCCCAGGTCACCCCACCCACCCAGCAGTCCCCCACCCGTCTGGCCACCCACCGCCCACCCACCCAGCCCTCCATCTGCCTGTGGCCATCCCCAGCCCCACTCATCTTCCCATGGACTGGGGCCACAGTGGCCACCTGAGCACCTGTCCACTCACTCGGGGCCCTGCTCCTCCTCCGTGGGTGGGAGTGGGCACCTCTAGCTGTCCTGCCACAAAGTCCCTTGGGCGGCACTGCCTGGTCCAGCAGGCCCGCAACTTCCCCTTTTCTCCTGCGGACACTGGGTCCCTCCACACTCCCTTTCTGGAGACCAACCCAGCTCTCCCCCAGGCCCCCACCCGCCCCCCTCCCTGCCTCCTGCTCCCACTCACGCGGAGGAGCCCTCCAGCTTGCCGTAGAGCCAGCCGTTCTGGGCCTCGGGCACTAGCACCTCCACCACGTCTCCGGCCGAGAAGCGCAGCAGCGTGTGGTTGGCGCCCTCGGAGTGGGAGACCAGGGCGCGGACTCTCTTGGCGCCCCCGCTGCTGCTGCCGCCGCCTCCCGGGCGCTCGCCGAAAGAGTTGGAGCGCGAGCGCTGGGAGCTGCTGGTGTAGAGCGAGGCTGCCGGGGCAGAAAGCGCAGCGGAGCATGAGCGGGAAGTCCTCCCAGGAGTCTGCCCTCCATCCCTCCTGCTGCAGCCCAACCCGGGGTACTCACCGGCCGACGGCGTCCGGGGCAGGGACCGGCGGTCTGGCTCCAGCTGGGACGCGGACCTCGCCTCGGCGGGCTCAGGACCGTAGGAGCCGGAGCCGTGCCGGCTGCGCGGGGAGCTGAACTCTCCCAGAGGCCTGGGGGGCTGCGGGGGAGAGGGCAGGGCGGGTGGGGCGGGCGGGGGCGGCCGCGCCCTAGTCCAGCCCCCACCCCCAGCCCCAGTCCCAGACGTCGGCGTAGGGGTTGTGGGGCCGCCGGCCGGGCCACCACGGGGGCGCCGAGGCCGCGCCGGGGCGGAAGCGCGGCCCGAGGGGCGCGGCGTAGGGCGGGAGCCTGGGGGGCCGCAGGCTCCAGGGCCCCGCCGGGAGCGGCGGGGGCGCGAAGGGTGGCGGGGGCGCCCAGGGCCTCACCATGTCCAGGCGGGTGGGCGTCAGGCGGCCCGCGGGGTAGGGCGGCCCCAGCGCGGGGCCCAGCAGGCCCGGGGAGTGGGCGCGCGACGGGCTGCGGCTGGCCTCCGACTGCTCCTTCCACAGCAGCACGCGGCTCTGGAGCATGCCCCGGGCCTGCCGGGAGGACACGGGTCAGCCGCGTCCGGCGGCCCCCGGAGTCTGCGGGCTCCTGGACGGGCCCTGAAGCTCGGGATGGCCGATGTCCTCTGGGAGGAACCGGGAACCCCTGGGGGCCGCTCAGGCCGCTCACTGCCACCCTCGCCCCGCCTTGTGTCAAAGTCCCTCCAGTCCTCCTTGAGGCGCTGCCCCTGTCCGGCCCAGCCTGTGAGCTTTGTCCTGCAGGCAGCTTCATGGGTAGCAGAGAAGCCCAGGCCTGGCCACCAGGCGGCCCCATCATCCTGATGACAAGAGATGGGCTTGGGCATGCTCCCTCCCCAAAGCTGTGACCCAAGACCCCAGCCCAGTACCTACCCTGGAGCCATCTGGCAATGCCCAGGTAGAGTGGGGCCAGTACAGGAAGCTAAGACCTAAGCATCAGATGGTGGCGGACTTCCGATGGCATACTTTTGTGCAGCTGGATCAAGCTATATCTGAAATCTCTCTAGTTAACTAACCCTTTTTCATTTAAGGCACTTTGAGTGGTTTTCTGAAAGAGGTCTCTCAAACAGTTTCCAGTGTGTCCCTGTAGCTCACAAGCTACTATTTCTACCTCACACTCAGCCTCGGCTCCTGTTGAACACTTTCAAGGACAGGGAGCGCAGCAGCTGAGCACAGTCCACACCTACAAAGTCCCTGTAAATGTTAGACCGCCGCGTGTCTGATCATGACTTTTATTTCCGGTATTTTAAGATGCTTTAACATCCTGGGGATTTGCTACTCCTGGAGAAACCAACCGTCCCAGGGGAGTGAGCCGCTTGCTGGGGACCTGCCCTTCTTGTGCCAACCAGCCTGGAGGTCGGGCCGTCTCTGAGTGACCGCAGCAGCAGTGTCCAGGGGTGCCCAACATTGCCCACTCCATTTTGTGAGTGGTGGTCTGCCATGAGCTACTCCAGGCTGAGTTGAAGGCTGAGGTGGAAGACTCCACACCTTGTTTGCACAGGTCAACAATGCCACCTGCTGGCACAGACCTGAGGCACAGCTGATACGTCATCATGTGCATAAGAATGACATCTGGGAGGTGACCTTCTGGGAGGCCACCACACTAAGAGAAATAAGCCAGGCCCCAGAAAGCAAAGGCTGAAGGTTCTCTCTGATGTGTGGACCCACTGCCAGGAGTGGGGGGACAGGAGTTCAGGGTCAGACAAAGGGGAGGGAGGGAGGGGGATGGGGGAGCAGGAGAATGAGGTGGACCTGACTCTCCTGTGTTCACATACGAATACACCACCAGTGTTTGGGATTTGGTGGCAATGGAGCTGAAGGCCTCCCCTTGCTAGGCAAGCACTCTACTGCTGAGCTATCCCTAACCCTTTTTAAAATTTTTGTTTTGAGGCAGGGTCTTGCTAAGTTGCTGAGGCTGGCCTCCAACTTGAGCGCCTCCTGTCTCAGCCTCTGAGTTGCTGGGATTACAGGTGTGCACCATCCTGCCCCCTTTATGACCAGACTTTTCAATGATTCCTTCCTTGAACCCAGCCCAGCACCACTAGGCAGCGATGAGTGTCCCATCGGCTGGCCTGGTTGCTCAGTGGACACCCCATCGTCTCACGCAGTGTTTAATTAGTAAAATAGCCAAAGGCAGAGCCTGGGGCCTCACTGCACTTGTCCCAGAGGCAGGAAGCAAAGGGAGGCTCACAATGCATAGCTCACAAGCTACCATTTCTAGAATGCCTCACACTCAGCGCATCTGAGGATGGTAATTTTAAAGGGGTTTCTGTCTGCATCAGGGGAAAACACCGTGGGCACCAGGGGGTCCTGGGAGGGACGACCAAGCCCCCAGACACCGCCTGGACAGCGCTCAGCTGCCCCCACCCGGGCAGGTCGCCGGACTGGAAGGACCTCTGTGTGGACCTAGACGCGAATTCCAGGTTCGTGCGGAGAGGAAGAGCCTGCTGAGCAGGGCAAACCCTGACTCTGGACAGAAGCACAGGGACACCTGGCCACGGGGGACTCTTCCATATGGCACAACCCACTGGGAATGTGGGAGCCGCCCGCCCAGGAGTGAGCATCCTGCTGGAGCCCGGGCGCTGGCCTGGCATCGCCCAATCCCCTTCGCGGCCACGCGCGGGACACCCGTGGGGCCTCATCGCCTGCCTCGAGACTCCCTTGTGGGTCCCCTATAAAAATAAAGGGACTCCGGGTGCGGGCTGTCTTTTCCAGCGGACCCTCAGGTCGCAGGGCCGTCCCACCCTCCATAGGAAAATTACTTCTGTGTCCGGCGCTTTTCCGCCGTTTTCGAGCCTAATGTCGCGGCCAGCTCTTTTGAACCCAGTTCATCTCCTCAGCGCGGGTCGCTGGCGGGAAGGGAAATTGGGAGCAATACCCGGCGGACTGACAGCAAGTCATGGCCGAATGCAGCTCAGCGACACTTGAAAGTTCTATGAGTGATAAGAAAGGATCCTGACGCGCAGCACGGAGCCCGCCTGAGACAGCGGCTGCTCATCGGCGCCTTTCCAGCGGCCAGGAGCAGACATTTTGCTCGGAGGCCACTGTCCAGGGCACGGAAAGGCGCGATCCCAGGACCGTGACCTCACCTGCTGTGCACACCCCAGCCAAGTCACCGTCCAAACCTGGGCTGTCGGGATGAATGAGAAGGACACCTCGCTGTGCCCAAGCACTGATACTTCAACTCTTGTTCCCACTGTGCCTTATGAACAGAGTGACAGGACCATCTGGTCCAGAGAAACCCAGATCAGAAAAGCAGCCTGAGCCCGGCTGGTCCAGGGGCTGCACTGGGCACTGAGGATCAGAAAGTTCAATGTGTTTCTCAGCCGCCGCGGGGAGCTCGGGCAGCGCCCTCCCGAGGCAGCCACACTGCAGCTGCTGTGTGGAGCCTGCAGGTGGAGCCAACACCGCCACCCTGTCCCCAAGCGCCTGTCGCAGCCCAGGTGCACCTGGCAGAACAGAGTGGAACAGGCCCAGAGGGGATTGTCCCCGGGGCATTCAAGTCTGAACAGCAAAGAGAGCCAACTCACTTCTCCTTTGCGTTTGGTGGCTCATGTGACCAGCTGAGGGGTCGAGGATCTGAACAGGTGGTGTGAACACACTGGGGGACTCCACCCCGGAAGTCTGTGTTCCTGGGCACCAGAGGGGTCTACTGTCCCACGAGAAGACTCCTAGGAGGCTCCCGAGAGCCACACTCCCGGCCCAGACCTGCAGGCCCTGGGGGGTGTTGATCTAATCTCTCCCAAGTAGATGCCACCAACAGAGCCCCCGAGGCCTGGTCAGACTCCAGTGCCACCCGCCTGAACTCCACTCATGGAACTGCGGCAGCTCCACCCTGGGAGGGCACCCGTGTGGTCGGCAAACCCCAGCTGACAGCCCTCCCCTCCCATCCTACCTCACACGGGGGAAGGGAAGCTGAGAGTAACTCCAGGCTGCTTCAGCCGCAGGCCAGGCAACCAGCAGCTCAGAGAGCAGCGCAAAAAGGGGAGGGGTCCGCACCCCCACCTGGCTGCTCTCTGTGCATTGCTCGCGAAGAAACAGAGCCGGGCATAGACGGCGACCACCTATGGTCCTGTCAACTATTTTGGCCACCTCAATGGAGACGATCTCTTCATTTGTCATTAAGATTCTATCCTCTGAACATTCAGAGTATTAAAGATATAAGTAACCGTGATCAGAACATACGGAACTCTAGGGCAGCATCCGAGTGAGGAGGGTTGGGAGAGGCGGGCGAATGGAGCTGATGACCTCTTCAGGGAAATAATACAGAAGAATGTCCAAACCTTGAGAATGAGAGAGACAACCAGAGTCAGGAATCATTCAGAACCCCAAATAGACAAGACCGAAAGAGAACCTCTCCACAGCACATTATAAGTAAAAGGCCTGACGTAGGGAGAGAATTTTAAAAGCCTCAAGAGAAAAACATCAGGTCACATTTAAAGGCAAACCAATCAGAATTACTCCTGATTTTTCAGTACAAACTCTAAGAGCCAAAGGGCTTGGAAAGATGTGTTCCAAGTCCTAAAAGAAAATACTGTCAACCCATATTGCTATATCCAGCAAAGCTATCCTTCAGAATTGAAAAAGAAATGAAAACCTTCCATGATAAGCAGAAGCTAAAAGAATTCATGAGTGCTAACCCTCCACTACAGAGCTTACTTAAGAAACACTCCGCACAGAAGAAATAAAAAACAAACCTCAGAGCGCACAAATGAACAAATATCAACATCTGAAAATTATCTTGACAAATGAGAAACAGACCAAATTAAACAATATAAATAAATCAAAATGGCAGGGATTAATAAACATCTCTCTATAATAGCATCAAATGTAAATGATTTCAACTCTCTTAAAAGACATAGGCTGCCGGATACAGGGGTGCACACCTGTAATTCCAGTGGCTCCAGAGGCTGAGGCAGGAGGATCGTGAGTTCAAAGCCAGCCTCAGCAAAAGCAAGGGGCTAAGCAACTCAGTGAGGCCCTGTCTCTCTATAAAATACAAAATAGGGCTGGGGATGTGGCTCAGTGATAGAGTGCCCCTGAGTTCAAGCCCCAGTACCTGCCTCCCAAAAATGACAGAGGCTGGCAGAACAGATTTTTTAAAAAAGGTCTAACTAAATGTTGTTTGCAAGAGACACACCTCACAGGCAAAGAGAGCCACCAGCTGAAAGCGAAAGGATGGAAATTGACATCCCACACAAACGGATCCTGAAAACAAGCTGAAGTGGCTACACTCATATCTGACAAAGCAGATTTCACACCAAAATTAATCAGAAGAGACAAGGTCAACAAGAAGATATAAAAATAATATTTACACCCCAAACGAGGGTGCAGCTAATTCCATAAAATTGACACTACTCACATTGAAGATTCAGACAGACCCCACTACATAATACTGGCAATTTCAATACACCTCTCGCACCATTAGACAGGTCACCTAGAAACAAACTCAGTAAAGACTCTTTGAACCTGAAAAATATTATAAATCAAATGGACTTAACAGACATTTATAGAAT